AAGGCGGTGGCCCTTGGGAAGGCCACAGGCTAGGCGTGTGGATGTACCGGGCCGGCTAGGGAGCCGTCATTCACGCATGTGTTCACTCACTCCCTTGTTTCCTGGGAAACAATCGTGGTGACGTGCTGGGGCTCATATCTCAGCTCCCTCCCTGACCAGCTCTGTGGCCTTGACCTCCCCCCAATTAACTGGGTAAGCAACTTGAAAGTCGTGACTCAGTTTCCCCATTTTTACAACGTGCATAACAATAATAGGCTTTAATAAGTACATGCCTGTAAAGCACGTAGATTAAATGTTAGCTGCTACTCCATTCACTGGCCAGGCCAACATCTATGGGGCACCACTGCACTGGGGGCCGGTGCTGGGGTCCACCCGTGAAAACAGGCATTCCCTCCGCAGCTCGGAGCCTGACCAATACTCACAAACCCAAACCACAGTGCACCACAGTCCCGACTGTGACGGGGAAGGGTGAGGGGCTGCAGGAACGTATAGGTGGCCCTCTGCCCAATCCAGGGGGGCTTCCTGGAGGAGGTCACCCCTAAACAAAGTGGGGCAGACAGCACAGTCAACAGTTGCGTCACCAGGGCCTGGTGCAGACAGGCACACAGGAGGCCTCAGGTGTTTATGAAGGAGCTATGGGTTATCCAGAAGAAAGCAGGAAGAGAAACTATATAGGAAGATGTAATCGCATGTGCCAAGAGCAGGAGGAAAGAGACCCTTCACAGCCCCGTGAAGGGAGCTGGCTACAGCCAGAGTGCGGGGTGGATAGGGGGGTCCGGGGGTGTCTGCGTCCTTCCTGGACCTTCCCCCTCCTGCAGCGCCTGGGTCAGTCCTGGCGGCCGGAGCCAGCTGGGCCCTGGGGTCAAGGGGGGGCTGCCTCTGCGGGTGGAGGCTGACAGGACCGCTGTCCTGACCCCGGACCTGCCTGGGGCCCCGCATTCCAGCCAGAACCCCAGGGAGCAGGAAGGAGGACGGCCCCCCAGCACCGGGCTCGGCCAACGCAAACAGGGCCGCCCACTCGACAGGAAGACGCATGGAGCCAAAGCTCAGGAGACCCCGCTGGCCTCAGGCCTCCCGCTGTCCAGCCCCCAGAGCTGGCCCCGTTGTGGCCTCATCAGCCTCCCGTTAGTGCTGTGCCTGCCCTGAGGTGTCCTTCACCCTTCAGACCCCAGCAGGGCCCTCACCCTGGTGTGTCCCCAGAGCGTACGTCCCTCACGCTCCTGGCAGCCCGGCCTCGGAGGGCCGGACGCCACAACCTCCGGAGACGCCCAAACGGATGCGCGGGGCAGCCACCTGCGCACGGGCGTGGGCACCGGCTGGAGGGTGGGCAGGCGGGGACCCACCCACCTTCCCCCTTCTCTGGGGGCTCAGGACTCATCTGCTCAGAGAACGGAGACTCGAGGGTCTTCCTGTCACTCCGGGGGTTCCCAGGAATCCAAGAAAGTGGACAAAGAGATCCGCAACCCCGGCCAGACGTACAGCTGGACCCCCTCGCCTGTAACTGCCGGGACGAGTGTCATTCCCAGGGCAGGGCAGCTGGGAGGGCCCGGACCCTGGGCAACTGATTCCGCCCTCAGAGCCTCAGTTTCCCTGCTATGAAAGAGCAAATTGTGCTGGGTTTGGGGTGCCGGCTCGGCCGGGTTCTTAGCATGTGGCGAGAGCCCCCTGATTCACGTCTGTTGCCGCTGATGACCATCCACCTCCCCCCACACCCCCACCCGCCACCAGGTCCCGGCCCCCCGCTGCCGTGGCCTCAGCGAAGGGCCAGGAGCCGCCACAGCCGCTGCTGCCTTTCATCCCCGACGGGAAGGCGCAGCCTCAGCCGGCAGCCGCGATCTGGAACAGATGTCTGACTCCAGGGGCTGGGAAAGCAGCGACCTCCACCAGGGGGCTGGCAGGGCCTCTCCTCCCCCGCCCTCCCCCCTCCCCCAGTGAGCGGCAGGGAGAGGCCACCTCGCCAGACGACAAAGCCCGGCTGGGAACATGGTGACATCCCCAGACCTCCTCTTCCCCCGATATTATGCAACCCGTGGCTTCGCCTGGAGCAAACCGGAGGCCAATGGGACAAAGTGGGCCAACTCCACGGGCCTGTCTCCATCCCTTCCGAGGGGCCACCCCAGGGAACCTCAGCCCCGAGCTGCTCTCAGCAGAGTGACGGGGTCACACGCAAGGACTGTCACAGCTTGGTGAGCACCTGGCCGACGCCTGGAGGTGGCAGCTCTTCTCCCCATTCTACAGGGAGGAGACCGAGGCCTGGGAGGGGCGGTGTCTGCCCCCCAGCGGCTGTGCGGGGCCTGAGTTGTGTCATTTGTACCCTATTCTGACTCCCAGGAGCACAGACGGAGGAGGTGACATTGTCATTCATTCATTCATTCCTCGCTCCCTGCACACGCACTTGCAGAGCCTCCTCCATGCTGATGCGGTACACACAGTGGAAGAACACAGACGCAGTGAGAGTCACTAGTGTGTGAGTGTGTGTGAGTGTGTGTGTGAGAGTGTATGTGTGAGTGTGTGTGTGAGTGTGTGTGTGTGAGTGTGCGCGTGTGTGTGAGTGTGTGTGTGTGTGTGTGTGAATGTGAGTGTGAGTGTGTGAATGTGAGTGTGTGTGAGTGTGAGTGTGTGTGTGAATGTGAGTGTGTGTGAATGTGAGTGTGTGTGTGAATGTGAGTGTGAGTGTGAGTGTGTGTGTGAGTGTGTGTGAATGAGTGTGTGAATGTGTGTGTGTGTGAGTGTGTGTGTGAGTGTGTGTGTGAGTGTGTGTGTGAGTGTGTGTGTGAGTGTGTGTGTGAGTGTGTGTGTGAGTGTGTGTGTGAGTGTGTGTGTGAGTGTGTGTGTGAGTGTGTGTGTGAGTGTGTGTGTGAGTGTGTGTGTGAGTGTGTGTGTGAGTGTGTGTGTGAGTGTGTGTGTGAGTGTGTGTGTGAGTGTGTGTGTGAGTGTGTGTGTGAGTGTGTGTGTGAGTGTGTGTGTGAGTGTGTGTGTGAGTGTGTGTGTGAGTGTGTGTGTGAGTGTGTGTGTGAGTGTGTGTGTGAGTGTGTGTGTGAGTGTGTGTGTGAGTGTGTGTGTGAGTGTGTGTGTGAGTGTGTGTGTGAGTGTGTGTGTGAGTGTGTGTGTGAGTGTGTGTGTGAGTGTGTGTGTGAGTGTGTGTGTGAGTGTGTGTGTGAGTGTGTGTGTGAGTGTGTGTGTGAGTGTGTGTGTGAGTGTGTGTGTGAGTGTGTGTGTGAGTGTGTGTGTGAGTGTGTGTGTGAGTGTGTGTGTGAGTGTGTGTGTGTGAGTGTGAGTGTGTGTGTGTGCGGGGAGGGGCTTGGCTCAGGGCCGCAGGCCCCCTGGTTACAAAGGGATGGAACTCCCCACTGCTAACCATTCTTGGCAGAGTCCAAGGAGGCCACACCCCAAAGCATAGGGCCCCGCCCACAGTCAGCGCTGGGAAGATGGGAGCTGCCCCCGCATCCAGACACCTCCCCGCCCTCCCACCTTGGTGGTGCCGGGCTGAACCTTCTGCCCGCCCTGGATTCCGCCGACACATGTAACACATCAGCTAAACCCGCATGCTCTGTCATGGAACAGCCTGTCTTCCTCACACCTCCCATCCTGTCCCAGATTCCTTCCCCTGTGGCCTTGGGGTCCTGCCAGCCCCATCCACACTCCCCACCCTCAGCCTTCCTCCCCCATTGGTTTCCTGTCTCCCTGTCAGGATAGAGACCACGCCCATCTAGAAGTCCCACCTCGAGGTCCTGACAGGCTAAGGGAAGGTGACAAGGCCCAGAGAATTGGGCTTCTTGGGGGTCGCAGCCAGCGCCCCCACCTCAGTTGAATGTCACCACCCCAAGGCACTCCCCCCAGGCTAGGAAGAGCCTGCTCCATCGACAAAGCTCATGTCAAGGACTTTTTGCTCTGACCCTGGATATATTGCACACAGATGTTCATATTCAGATCGCACTCAGCAGCTGTGTGCCACTGGGCAAAACACTTAACCTCTCTGAGCCTCACTGTTTTCGTCTGGAAAATGGGGATGCAGTCCCGTCACCCCTACTCCAAACGGCTTGCCTCCAGATGTGCTTTGCAATTCCAAACTTCTCAGAGTTCAGAGAGATAACCCCGGACTGTATTCACACCCCAGTGGGGTCTGGAGCCACAGGCTGTACTCAAAGATTTCAGCAGCAAAATGTATGCATATTCACTCTCAGCAGAACACACAAGGTCTGTCAACAGCCTCAGGTCACACTGAGCAGCCAAAATAAGTTATAAAAATGCTTTGCGCTTTCAAAGCTTAGGGAGATTCTGGACCCGCAGGTAAGGAAGTGGAACCAGTGGAAACACCCGCTCCCCGAAAAGGCTGTGGAGGCTGCCATGGGTCCCTACTTAGCTCAGGGCCCGGAGGTCCTGGATTGGGCTGGGCTTGGAGGGGGGAGGGGCACTCCCCGTCCAGCCGTAGGGTAGGCCCCGGAGCACAGGGCTGGGTCCAGACTCTGGATCCTGAATCCCAGGGATCTAGGCCCCTGAACGTTGGCCTGGGTGGGGGTAGGGGGCCGGGGCAGAGCAGAGAAGCCAGGCCACCCGGCCCAGCTACCCACCAGCAGCACGAGCCCGGCTCTTGCTCAGAGGCCTGGACCTTCCTGGGGATGAAAACCTCAGCTCCTGCCCCAGGGACTCACCCAGGCCCCGAAGGGGAGAAAAGCCCCAAGATGAGGCTCCTGCCTTTGGGGGCAGACCAGTTCACCCCCACAACCATCATGGGGCACCCAGATGCGCTCCTCTGCAGAAGGCTCGGGCAGACTTCCTGCCCCTCCAATGATCATGTCTAGGGCTCCAGCCCCAGGTCACACCCACGTCTATCCAGCTCCGGGGGTTCCCCAGCCGGGTCTGCGGCCACCCGCTGCACTCAGGTGAGATTTCAGCAGCCCCCTCTCATATCGGGGTTTTACAGGGGCGCAGCAGCGGGGCCTCTGGCCCGCCATGGGGTGGGGACAGGGGCGGATGGCGGCGGTGCCGAGCCCGCTTACCCAGGCGAAGGGTGATGTTGACCGAGGTGGCACGCCGAAGGCCATGGACGGGCTCTGCCACCAGGTGCTGTCGTCCTGGCTGTGGAAGTCGGTGAGGTAGGAGGCGTTGTGGTGGCGCTGGGGGTCCGGG